CCTATCCCCGAAAACGTCGGCACGTCAGCCTGGCCTCCGGAGACGTACCGATGCTGACTCCGGACGAGAACATGTCCGCAGGAGGAGAATCCCAAGGATCCCCTGGCATGGAACCATCCGCGGCAATGGCCTGAGTACTACTGGCTCAGGAACCGGTCAGCCCTACGCCGCGGAGCAACCGCCTTTTTACGTCCCAGTCGCCGAGTACCCGCTGGGTCAGGACACAAGGTTCCCACCTCGTGCCCCAACTACGACGCCGCCGACGACTCGGGGCAACGGCCCTGACGGGTCAGACGAAGAGACCAAGGACCCTGTCTGGCCGGGATCGGGATCAGTATTTGCGGGAGGCAGACCGACAAATCTCCGAACTCCGTGCCGTGCTGGCTGCACGGAATGAGCAGGAGCGACTCCGACACGAGGACTACCACGCAGCCCGAGCCGCTAAGCCGCACAAACAAAGGTCTTCCAAGTGGGATTATCGCGAGGCGGAATACCAAGATCGAGCCACGCGAGAAGCGGAAAGGAAAAAAGACCGCGGACCAAGAATTCGCGAGCCTCCAAGCCAAGTTGTACTTGCTCGAGAAAGAAAGGGAACTGGAAGAGGATTCCCAGTTCCGGGCCGAAGCCTCTCGCCGAATGGAGGAGGTGTCCGAGCAATGCAACCAAGTGATTTCCCGTGCAATGGCAGACCTAGCATAGACCAAGATCCGAGCTGATGAAGATTTTCTCCAGATCAAGCGTAAGATGTAATATCAGGATCGGGAAGACCGGGCCCGGGTGGCTCGAGACACTGAGCTCCGGATGTTCCGGGAACAAGCCGGTGCAGGACGTGCGCGATGTCAACCCTGCATTCCCACACTCCAGCGGAAGCGGACGGGCTCGGGGAGACAGACGGTCTCGGCACCGCGACCGGGGTTCGCGGGGCAACCATTCGACCAGTACCACTGCGAGTAGAAACAGTACACTCATGAGAAGGACGTTAGGGGTGCCCACATATGGGGAGATGACACAGCTCCTCCAACTTCGGCTGCATTCATCCCAAGGCCTGCTCGAGGCCCGGCGTCCTCCTCCAGAACCACAGCTCCGGACTCCGCCGTTAGGTCCTCGGGGATAGGTACGGGGCATGATCGAACGACCGTTCCAAGCCCTTCGGGTATCCCCATGTCAACGCTGAACCCCGCAGCCGGAGGATTCAGCTTCGACCCAATTCGACGGACAACCCGTTTCGGGGGTCGTCATGGAGTGGACCTTCGGGGGCCTATCCTACAGGTGCACACACCGGTCCCCAGACCTATGCAAGTTCGGAGCGGGAGTCCCAACCATATGGCCCAGGACTAGCTCCGGGACATTTGTGGTTTAGTGATTTTGGCGGTGGTGCTAGCGCCGTTGGTGCGGACATGTGGACGCCTTTGGGAGAAATGTGTGGTTGAGTGTGGTCCACACCAGCTTCACATTCAAAGTGTACCCATGACGAGTCCACGTCGGCCCACCAAAGAGTGACACAGCAACCGTTAGAGACCATTGGTTACTATTCGGGGATGGTGTGGAATACACGACATATCCGCTGAAACACCCGGCCGAGATCCGCACTTAGTGGGAGTTTCGCCCAGTGATTGGTCGAGTAGTCGGTGACCGTTATTAGATCTCGTAGCTAGGTCGCATTTATACTTGATATTTGTATACTTACATAGTAGGAATTAGGATGAGGATTAACGTCCAGAAGGGCGGAGAACAGAACAGAATTTGCTACCTGAAGTTAAGCTTCTTTTGGGTAAGTCCAAGAGAACCAAGCCGCTTTACGTGGCATACATATCTGTTGGTGAACTAGATTAATACTCCGGTTCGCCCACCAAGGTCAATCCAAGAGCATTTGTGTGTGGTTGACCTAAGTGATAGCTGGCGAATATCCGTCAGTTTGGAGCATTATCCAAGTGAATCTTCTGGCCGGTGCAAGTGCCCGGCAGTTCTGCTATAGCTGAAAAGTCAACGTACCTTCCCTACTGAAGGTCTGGCAGAGCTCAAGCGTGTGAGGAAAGGCATATTGATCTGCTCCTGGCCAAGGACGTCTGATATTTGGGTTGACCTATAGTGGCGAATCACAATTGGAACTGAGTCAACGCTAGCCTGGAAGGGGTCGACTCGGGGACTATGGAGATATATTCGATCCCGTTCTCGTTGACTATAGGAGTCAACAATTGTTGGAGTGAAGGAACGGAGTAATAGTCAATTGTGGATTCCCAACACGACACATTTCCCAGCGCTTCCTTGGTCGCTCCGGGAGATCCCTCAGGGGCATCAACCGCGGGCGTTTCCAGACTGTCCAGTACTACACCGACCTGAGATAGCAGCTTCGGGAGTACGGATCGACCATCGGCCCGACCCGGGGACTCATACTCTTGGGGACCTGGGGTTCCCGGAGGCTTCGGAACGCCAGCTGCCGGGGGTTATGTCCCCGGATATGGTGTGAACTTCCGAGCTTTCATCGCCTACGACGCTGTTCAACCCTTCGACATCTCGCTTTCTCTGGACAAGTTCCATTACACGGCCAGCAGTGGGAGTTGGCGAGAGCAATTGTTGTGTACAGCCGACTCTCGCACAACCCGGTTACGAAGGCCTAGATGCATCAGCTCCCGGAGTCGGTTCGTCGGAGATGGCAACAGCTGTCGGACGGGTTCTACAAGGGGTTCTGCAGTTCCAAGGAGTCTCCGGTCGAGCGCTACCCGCGCTTGAAGCATGAGTCTAGGGAGACATAATGGACCTTCCTATGGAGACTCAACGCGGCTGTCACCAAGGCCAACGTGGTCTACCACTCCGCCTCCGGGTGTCACCGGCATGTGAACCAGTTCCTCAATAATCTCTGGGACCGGGAGCTTCAGCTGAGTCTCCAGGGGCGAGTCTATTTCACGATGGATGAGCTCGAGGATGTCCTCAAGCAGGTCAAAGAGATGGAACGAGGCAGGCGCCGGAAGCCCGCCAACGACGTGCAGTTCGGACGTCACAAGCCCCAGGGTGCAGGCCCCGGTGTGGGGGTTCGGGGGCGTATGCCACCATGGCGGTTCTCGAGGTCCCTGAGCCCCAGGTCCTGGACCCCGGAGACCTAGGGTGGGAAGATGAGGATCACTCAGGTTATCAATACCAGTACGACGAGGAATACGACGAGGAAAACGACGAAGCCTACGATGGTCTGGTCGACCAAGGAGAGGCGTTCTGCGCCGAGGTTTCCGGGGCCTTGGAAAGACCGCAATGGACGTCCCCAAGCCGCCCCGACTGCAGGGAATCGGGATACACTGGATTTCCCAGACACGCGGCTCCGTGATCCATGTACAACAAGACCGGGTACACTCGGGAGCGTTGTTGGCAGCTAACGAAGTGTGACCGGTGTGGGGGTAACACCCAATCAGTCAGTGCCGACGCCGGGAGTGCGAGGTGTGCTGCCAGTTGCATTCGGCTGAGGAATGCACAGTCATCAAAGCCTTCAAGGATGCGGCCCAGAGAGGGCAGCTCTAGGGCCTCCAAGAAGAGGTGTTGCAGAGGTTGCGCCCGGAGGCCACTCCAGCGTTAAACAAATAGGCTCGCTGGGTAGGGACCCAGTACGCGACGAACCTTAGTCCCGTTGGACCTGCCGCGCCTATGCCTATGAAGGTCTTAACGAACCTCAATGTATGTCAATTGCATCAACACCCACTTCCGAGCCCGGTTCCATCTACACCAGCCATGTCGCCCCGGACGAATATGAACTTTTATTTGAATTCCAACCCGGGGAGCACCGAGGTTGATGGGAAGCGAACTCTTGGGACGATAGCTCCTGTTCAGTGGCTTTCGTCCATGGTTCCGTATTCCACCATCGTACCTTGCTCATGCTTGACTCCGGAGCCTCCACCAGTATTATCAGCCTAGACATTGCGCGTAGGTTAAAGTTGAGGGTGGAGCCCCGGGGCGAGCAGTTGCTTAACGGTATTGATGGCGTGAAGGCCAAAGTCACGAACAAGTGCCGGGTCAAGATAACCCTTGGACACCGAGTGGTGTACACCCTGGATGTCTGGGTCGGGAACATCGGCCAAGGCATCGACGCTCTCCTGGGGATGAACTTCATGGTCGCCGCCGGAGTCCGGTTGTGCGCTCACGAAAGAGAAGTGGTGCTTCAGACGAAGAACGGATTCTCCTCGTGGGGTCCCCAAAGCTCGCACTTGGGGCGGGCCATTGACGTATCCATCCACGTGAGTCTTTGGTTAGCACCGGGAGACAGCAAGTATATCCCGATCCGGGCCTCCGAACCAGACCTCGAGTCCATGGACGTGTGGGTCAGTCGGGGGGGGGAGTTGGGTGGCTCTAGTGATTTTTATCACGAAACGAGTCCCCGTTGCCGCCCCGCCGGTGAACATTTCCCGGAGACGGGTCCAAGCGCTTCCGCATACCAAGGTCGCCACCCTCACAGATTGGGATCGGTTGCCCTTGGGGACTAACTTCGTCCGGCCGGGGTCCTACCAGTACGACGAACGTGAATTCCTCGTCTACGAGAACACGTAGCGGAGCGCGGTTTGGACGCTGAAGTTCGGGAACGCAAGCGGACTGCACCTCCCAAAGTGGACCGGTCGACATATTCAACTCCGACCCGTGTCCTCAGGCGGACCCCGGAGATCTCAGCCGCCGCTCCCGAAGGTCCCGACGCCCACCGAACCTTGTGGACTCCGGAACCCTCTGGGGTCGAACGGCCAGAGAGGTCGGTCCCGGGCCCCTGGTGTGAGGACGGTCCCAAGCCTGGTGACCTCCCGAGCACAGCCGCTCCAGGGCCGGGTACCGGCCACGTCATGACCGTCTCGGATGTACCTCAAGAACCGGCCCCCAGGCCTCGAGGAGGGGATCCTTTGGTCACGAAGCTCAAGCCTAATTGGGGTGGGGGCGAATCGGCTTCGGGACTCGCGACCTCTTGAGAATCGACCTGAAAGTCCCCCGAGTCCGCGCCCATAGACGCCCAGGTCGCGCTGACTTGGTCGTTCGTGATGGTGGCGATGGATGGCGAAAGCCTTGACGCAGAACCCGCCGTCTATTATCATCAAGGTCGGGACTTCGTGCTCTTGGACATGATCAAAACCCAGGTGGTCTACCTCCCCGACCTGAGTGATCTCCGACCCGAGGCCAACATCGATGAGGCCATCGTCGGCGAACCCGGGGAATCAGACCCAGAAGAGGAGGAAAGCCTCCGGTCAATTATCCGGAAACACAGAATAATTTTCTAGGGAGAAGGAAACGCACCTCCTCCCCCGGCCCGGGTGTCGTTTGCGACCTGGAAGTTCGGGAGGCAAAAAAACATTACTATGAGGTCTCGGAGGATCCCCGCCGATTTATTGTCCAAAGTGTACAAGTTACTCAAGTGCCTTCAAGAGACCGTCTGATCGAGTACTCCCACTCGGAATGGACATCGGCCATTGTCCTCGTGATGAAAAGGAACGACACCGACGCCCGCTTGTGCATCGACAATCGGTTGGTGAACGAGCTGATCAAGCTGATGAACTACTCCCTACCCCTAATCGACGAGCTGATGAGCAACTTCGCCGCCACTATGTGGTCCATGACTTTGGATTTGGCAAAGTGGGTTCGCGGTTCCGAAAACGGCCCGATCCCAGCTGATTAGGCTGCACGGACACTTTCAGTGGAAACGTATTTTGATCGGTTTGAAGAACGCTCCGTTGATTTACCAACAACTTCTGAACAGTAGCCTTTGGGGTTTTGTCCGGCTACCCCCGGAAGAGGATCGGCTTGTTGACCCGGAGGTGCTAGAGTTCTTGGTGATTTCTCCTGAGACACGGACGCCCCGGTATCCCAGGGCACGGAGCCCAGGGGGCGGCGGCTTCCAGGACCAGCACTGACACCGTGTTTCATCAGAACCGGGTTGCCCCGGAGCAAATGAGATCTGTGCTGCCCGTAGTTCGTATATCGGTGACATCAGCTACGGAGCTCCGTCCTGGGATGACCTGTGCAAGACGCTGAATGCCATCCTATAGATTGGGACATTTCGGTGAGCCTTCCGAAGAGCGAGTTTGGGGTCAAGAAATGCAAGTACCTCGAGCACGACATCAGCTCGGACGGAATCAGGACGTCCCAGAAGCTAGCGGAAAAGGTCCTCAACTTGCCGCTCCCGAAGACCCAGAATGGAGTACAATCCTTCCACCGGAGTCTCAATTACTACGCCAAGTATATCAGGGATCTACCCGTACTCGCGGCAACTCTCTGCGAAGCACCAGACGAGCAAACCGTTGCGGACGAGATTTAGAGAAACCTAAGTATGTGTTCAAGATACTCAAGAACCGGCTAGTGTCGACGCCATTGCTTCAGCACCCCGACCCCGGGGACCGTATGTAATAATATTACATGCCAACCCTTGCGCCATCAGCGCGGTTTTGGGACGACACCATACTACCCGTGCGGTTCGTGGGGCGAGTTCTTCAGGACGCCGACCTTCGGTACCATCCCGCCGAAAAGGAGGTATTAGCGCTGCTCAGGTCCTGAAAACATGCCACACGATGATTACCAGCTGTTCTGAAAAGAAAATTCGTGTGTACATCCGGTACTCGGTGTTGGCATGGCTGTTCAAGTCCAAGACAGTGGGTTCATACCCTTTAGATAAATAAAGCACTTCCATTACAAGCTGAGATGGATATCTTCTTGTTCGTGTGACCCACTTGTGCTAATTCGAAGAACTCGAAAAATTATTGCAAAATTCGTAACAAAGTAGGCCTGGCCTTTCCCTTACGGGGTATAGGCCAATCTTGCAGATTTTTTTTCCTTTTGCAGGGTCGATACGTATTGTAGTGGCCAAAATTGGTCGATACGTACTTCACTTCGACCCACATAATCCTCTAAGCAATAATGTATCTCCACCACACAAAATACGCTCAGTTCACAAAGAAATGATGTTCTTCGAGACGAGTCAAAACACGGTTCAAACTTCAGATTCCGAACCAATAAAACCCCACGAACCTAAACCCCACGTACCTCGTTCCTGTGGTTTTATAGGTCCGCGCAAAACTGAGGGACATCAGGTTCGCTTAATCTTCGTTTCATCTATCTATACACTATACATGTACATTCAAAGATTGCTTTGCGGGCTTTTTACAAAAAGCGGAGATATAACGATGTTTGACAAATCGGCATCACACTACGCACCAAGTTTCAAACAGTGCCTTGCTTGTTTTTCTTTGGTTACTCTTCCGGATCCGCTTTTTGTTTCGCCGGATTACAGCACGCTATATCCTCTCGTTTCGTTTTTGATGCGCTATCTACGCCTGATAGGCGCCGTGCGTAGGAAGCATCATCGGACCTCCTTCTTTCATGCTGCGGCAAAGAGCAAAGTAAATCAGACCCTGCAAAATCATGACAAAAAAGCGGAGAACGCTTTACCTCTTGAAGTAGTAGTATAGAAAATCCGCCATCATCAACATGTGGCCAATCTGCACGAAAATCACCATGTAGCCAACGTGCTGGCCGGCGTCCTTCTCGCCGAGCTCGTGGTACGACGAGAACCAGAACACCAGGTGCAGGAAGCTACCGAACGCCAGGGCATACACAAAGTGCGAGATGCACGACTCCACGGCACCACCACCCTTATTAACACAAAACGCATCACATATACATGAGATACTGCGAAACAAGCCCAGATGACGGCTAGAAATACTTACACGCTTCTGGAACATAAAGAGCTGAGGCAGAATCGCAACGGCCTCAATGTATAGCGCAATTGTCCAGGACACGTCCGAGAACCAGTTGCGGTTCAGGTTCGGGTGGATCAGCTACGTACCGTATCCAACAGGTACGTATAAAAACAATTAGTACTCACATCACCAACAAAGCAAAAGACACGTACCATGCCGAAGAACATGCACGGCAGAAGAATGTATAGTCCACCCAGCTCCGTGGGCAAGTGCAGCCATCCGAATGTGTCATAGCGCAACTCGTAGGTCGGGTTGAAGCGCATGGTGACGAGGTAGATAACGCCGCAACAGAGCGTGAGCGCCACGACCTCCAGGAACGTGTAGAGCCAATCGCCACTCCGGTCGTAGGGGAGGTAACCCTGGTAGCGCAGGATGGAGCTCAGACGGAAGAGGAACACGAACGCATAGAGCTCCAGCGTCTTAAGCGACAGCCCAGCCACAGAGCGCTGGGAGAAAGCCTTGAAGATCAGGAAGGCGAAGCCAAAGGCCCGCACGAACGCACCCATGGTCTGAAGAGGTCAGTTTTACGTCCACACAGGTCAGAATTGGTCAGGAATTGCGTGCTAAAGACAGAGGTGCGCACCATGAGGAAGGAGAAGTCACCGTCGCTGAACAAATGGTAGCAGAAGAACACGACGACAACGAAGCCTGACCAGAGGGCGATGTTGCTCTTGTGCGTCGTCAAGAAGGCGCTGTACAGTGCACACAGATCACGCGTGAGAGGCACAAGATCAAGGGGGACACGAAGACTACGCACGCGCCGGGAGACTTGTCCTTGCTGTTGAGGTCCATCATGGGTGGCTGCTAATCGAGGAGCTCGCAAAAGATAATGCCAATGGGGAACGCCTACGCGGCACCTTGCGGAAGATTTCCGGTCGTCCGCCCGTAAGTGAAGTCGCGTTTGTGATTGGTTGAAAACGACAGATGGAGATAAGAAAGCAGAAAGAGAGCTATCATTTCGATACGGATTATGTGCAGCACACGATCTGTATGACATTGGTCCATAGAGATAATAATACTAGTAGTAAGCGTTTCCAACGAAATAAGAATACTACTACTAGTAGTACTACGATACATACTACTAGTAGTATGAAGTACTACGTATGTTCGAAGTGAGAACACGAGTTTTATCGGAATACCACTGTAGTAGTACTAGTTCAACAGTATGCATTGATACTTCGTGTACTACTATTACTAGTAGTACTAATTACACATACAGAGTTGAGGCGACCAAGTCCCTCAGTTTTGATAAAAAATCTCCACACAATGCTCCGATAGTAAGCGGATTCGGTTAGAGCTAATAACTGTATATCATTGGGGCTCAATCGAGAATGGGCGCTCAGTATGAGTAGGAGAGATGATAATAGTTAGTCATCACTTTCGACTGAATCATCGTAAATCAATTCCTCATCGCGCAACCACAAAGAAAAACACAAACAAGATTGGGATGTCGAAATGCTGATTCTTCAGGAGGTGTTAGACAGCAAAACGCAAGTCGGCACCTCCCAAAGTGCCCAGCGCTTCTAGCCTTCCCAAGGGATTTTCACGTCGGGCTGATGGACCCAACATCCACAAGAGGGGCCTGCTCTCGCCGCCGAGTACATGAGTACGGAAGACCCAGTCGTCGCATGGAGGAAAGCAACGTGAGTGGCAAATGGGGCAACTAGAGGTGGGACAACGAACCACACATCTTCGAACGGTGGAAATGGAGAAGTGAGACCCCTGTGGTGTAAATAACCATTTTTACGAATGACTGGACGGCAACCACCATGGATGTGATTGGGTGAAATTACGCATAAATTTTGTACGAATGTCAAATCTAAATGCCTTAGGGACC